TTCTAACTGCTTGTTTGTACATAGGAAGATTGTCTGAGGCCAGGCTTGGTGGCTGAGGCCTGTAATCCTAGCACTTTAGGAGACTGAGGCAGACGGATTGCTTGAGCCAAGGAGTTTGAGACCAGCCTGGGCAACCTAAGATGACCCCATCTCTATTTATTTATTTTTCTGAGACAGGGTCTTGCTCTGTCACCCAGGCTGGAGTGCAGTAGTGCAGTTCCAGCTCACTGCAACCTCCACCTCCCAGGTTCAAGCAATTCTCATGCCTCAGCCTCCTGACTACCTGGTATGACAGGAGTGTTTTACCACACCTGGCTAATTTTTGTATTATTAGTAGAGTCAGGGTTTTGCCATGTTGGCCAGTCTGGTATGAAACTCCTGGCCTCAAGCAATCTGCCTGCCTTGGTCTCCCAAAGTGCTGGGATTACAGGCATGAGCTGTGCCCAGCCTCATCTCTGTAGTTTAACAACTAAGTAAAAGAAAGGCTGTTTAGTATGTTCCTTTTGTACCTAACTCTTTAGCAGAATCTGTCTGCCTCATTTTTCAGAGTAAATATGACTATTTCACCTTCTGCCTTTTTCTTTAATATCTTACTTTGCTCCTTGCCTAGTTGCATCAGCTAGGGCTTCCAAAATAATAGTGGTAACAGAGGGCATTCTTTTGTTCCAAAAGTTGATGGAAGCTTCTATTGCTTCAATCCCTTACAAATGATGCTGGGCTTTGCTTTGATGGGTGTATGTCTGGGTGTAATTTCCTTTATTGTGTGTAATCTAAGGAAGTATTCCTTTTCTTAATTTGATAAGTTTCTTTTATAAATTTTGTAGTCAAATGCCTTTTGAACATCTATGGTGAGTATAATTTTCAACATACTAATATAAATGAAAAGAGAAGATGTTCTAATTTCGAGCCATTCTTTCACACTGTACAAGTCTCCCTTGGTTTAGGTAAGTTTTTTTTCAGCCCCAGTGGGGTTTATTTGCTAATATATTATTTTGGATTTTCATACGTTGATTTTTATGTAACTGTCTTTTCTTGTTTGTTTTAGAGATATGGCTTTGCTCTGATGCCCAGGCTGGAGTGCAGTGATGTGATCACACTTTACTGTAATTTTAAACTCCTGGGCTAAAGTGATCCTCCTGCCTCAGCCTCCTGGGTAGCTGATATTACAGGCACGTGCCACCACACCTGGCTTAATTTTTAAATTTTTGTAGAGACAGAGCCTTGCTATGTTGTCTGAGCGGCAGTTCAGTGTACACTGTAGATGTGAACATTTACTGGTCTTTCTGCTGGAATCATTCCCTCTCCCATCTGTTTGTCTTTAAATTCTGGGCATGCGCACACACTCCACCTGCACATCCTAACTGCAAAATACTGATGTTGTCCAACCTGCCTTGAAAAGGGAGAACTGTTTTTCCCTCTTTGTATCTCTGCTGGTGTTCAGTCCACTGCTGTGTTTTTGGTAAATACTTGACCCACAGAGTTTGGGAGGCAGGAAGGGAAGGCTTCTGCATTTCCTTTGTGGACCTGACATCATGAATCCATTAAGCATATTGGGAAATTAGCAGGTCAGGTGGCTGCACACTCTAGTTGCCTCTGACTCTGAATTGCTGAGGGCCCCTTGCATGCCAGTGACTTGCTTTTCTTTGTGAGTTATCTCTTCACTCATATTCCTAGGATGAGTTCCCCAAACAGTGGCTAGCACAGCACCTGTAACAGTTGTGGGTGCATATCTGATCTTGCATGACCTGACTTATAGGGTGTTTTGAACAGGTGCTACCTGTTATGGCTTGGGCTATGGCTAAAGTTTACTTGACTTACTTTCATAAAGTAACTGGTAGAGTATGTGGCATAAGGCTATTATTGCAAAAGCAGAAGTGGTGGGGGGTGATTGAGCTTGGGCAGCATTGGGAGGCAGACAGACCGGCATCAGCACCGTCCTGGCCATTTGTAGGTTATATGACCTTAGGGGAATCCCCTCAACGCTCTGAGTCTTTGTTTCTTCCCTCATTAAGGAGATCATCCATTCCTCATTGGACTATTTTAAGGCTTAAGATCAAACGTCTTTCAAGGCACTCGGAGCAGTGCTGGGCTCTGGGTCTTTAGGCTGTAACCATAGCAAACACTCAGATCCCCGCCACCCTCGCTTCTCTTCCCTCCAGTGTGGGGATGTGGAGAACCAACCTTCTCATTTCCATTTACCCTGGAGTTGTTTCTTTTGAACTTCATCTAGTACCTGCTGTGCACCAGGAATTCATGGGTGAGGAGGACAGGGACAGCCAAGTCTGGCATCTGGCCTTCAGCTTGCTTCAGTCCCTGTGGCTGACACCTGGCCCTTTGCTCCGGAATCTGGACCCTACAATCTACTACCAAATGCTCAGCCCAAAGAGGACGCCCCCTATCAGTGAGAAGAATGCATAACTGCCCACGTCTCCCCATCTCCTGAGCTGATGATCAGCCCCAGCAATCCAGAGACACATTCTTGTATTCTGCTAGGTTTATTCTTCAGTTGAAAACTCAAAGGAAAATGTTATGTTCCAAAAGAAAGTGAAAAAAACTTCGAATGCTCTAGCCTGGGAGGCTGAATTCACAGGTGCCCCTACCAAAACAGAGGCCTTCGAAAGCCTTCTGTCCCCGTGTGTCTACCCCAGAGAGCAGCTCTCTATTGGGCTTCTGAAGAGCTATCAGTTCCCCTCAAAGAAGCTCCTGCCTCAAGAGATCCCCGGATCAGGCAGGGAAAGCCAGGACTGGGCAGCTGAGAAGCTGACTTCATGTCCTCCTGTGCACAGTCAGCGTTCTGAAGTGGTGGTTTCCCACATGGCTGTTGAATACGTTAATAAATACCTTGGGCATGAATAGGAGCTGGTAGAGCTCTCTCTGCAGGGCCAGGACTCGCTGGCTATGCTGTCTCTTGGTTTACAGTGGAGGTGTGGAGGAAGGGGGAGAATTAACCAGACCAGTGGGAGAGTTTCATGTCCTCACAAGTATTTTTTAATGCAATGGCAAACAGCTCATCTTCTCTGCATTTGAAGCATGTGTGGTTCTGAGTTTCCCAGCATTCCATGCTGGTTAGTCTGTCCCAGCCAAGAATCTTGCCCTTGTCAAGGAGCTGGAATTAGAGTAGAAGGTGGAGGAGTTTGAAGTCTTTGGCAGCCTAGTGCTAGCTTAGATGAAATCTCAAACTGAAAAGAAGAGAGAAGAGAGAAGTAAGGCCAGACTATGGGCCCCAGAGGAGAGGGGGCCCAGCTGTTTTCTGAAATAAATTATGCCGAGGCCCCTAGTACAGCCCCTGGCCCTCCTTATCGAAAGGACAGCTCTCCATCCACTCCCACCCATCTCCCTCTCCCCTTTCGGTAAGAGCATCAGGGATGGGTCGATGAGTCCTGACACCTGCCAGGCCTTTGCAGGCAGTGGTGTTAGGCCCAGCCTGCTGCGTTCCTGGAAAATTGAACAAGCATCTATGGAGCCCTCACTCCATGTCAGGCTCTGCCCCCAGCACCCTGAAGACAGACCAAGACATACTTCCCAGCCCAGGGGATGGCGGAACCTTAGCCCACAATGCATTGAGAGCTCAGGATGCATCCAACCCAAAGTGCAAGCTAAAGGGAACTCTCACTGTGTGGGTAGGATCTTGAGTACAGTTTGCAGTGGAGGCTGCTCAACTGTTTCCCTATCAAGTGTGGTGGTCAAGGGCACAGACTGGACACTCAGGGCTACCAGGGTAAGGAAGCGCTCTTGTAACCCTCATCTGCTAGGAGAATGGTTTAAAAGATGGGCGTTATCTAACGTCTTTGAGATGGAGTCTAGCCCTCTCACCCAGGCTGGAGTACAGTGGCTCACTGCAACCTCTGCCTCCCAGGATCAAGCAATTCTGCCTCAGCCTCCTGAGCAGCTGAGATTACAGATGCCTGACACCACACCCAGTTAATTTTTCTGTTTTTATTAGAATATGGGGTATAGTCAGGCTGGTCTCAACTCTTGACCTCAGTGATCCACCTGCCTCAGCCTCTGGGATTACAGGCATGAGCCACCACACCCTGCTATTTATTTTTTTTGAGATGGAGTCTTGCTCTGTTGCCCAGGCTAAAGTGGAGTGGCACAGTATCAGCTCACTGCAACCTCTGCCTGCTGGGTTCATGTGACTCCCCTGCCTCAGCCTCCTGAGGAGCTGGGACTATAGGCATGAGCCACCACGCCTGGCTAGGAAGTGCCCTTCTGTCCCTCATCTGCTAAGAGCAATGTCTAAAAGATGGGCTTTAGGTGGCCTTTCTTCCATCTCTCTCTACTACATTCTGGTTCTTTTTCAGTATGTAGTTTTCAGTAATTAGTAAATTAGCTGATTGGCTAAATTACTAAACTATAAATTTAGTGATTAGTAATTTAAATAATTTCTGGTTTCCTGCTGAAATCTATGATCTCTGTCTAATGAGCCTACTATCTGAGTCTTGTGGGTCTGTCTATTATTGTCTGTCTGTGCTAGTTTTTACACTGAGAATTGTACTACCTCCCTAAGTGTGCTTTTTATTACTACGGTGTTGATAATCGTATCATCATGCCCAGCACGGAGGTGCTCAATAAATATACATTTCCAGTGTCAAAAATATTCAGTGTGGTAAAACACAAAAAATTTACAACGACCATTTAAAGTACCCACTTCAGTGTAAGTACAATTATATTTTTGTGCAGCCAAACAAACTCTGGAACTCACTAAATCCTGCCAAACTGAAACTCTGTCCCCATTCAATAAGTCCTTACTGGCTCTCCCAGCTCCTGGTTGCCACCACTCTACTTTCTGTCTCTGTGAATCTGATTATGCTAGGTCCTTCCCATCAGTGGAATCATACAGCATTTCTCTTTTTGTGACTGCCTTATTTCACTTTGCATAACGTCCTAAAGGTTGATCCATGTCTTAGCATGTGTCGGAATTTCCTTCCTTTTTAAGGCTGAATTATGTTTGACTGTATGGAGAGACCACATTTGTTTATCTCTCGGCGGGCACTTGATTGCAGCTATTTTTCAGCTCCTATGAACAATGCTGTGCCGAGACCAGCTCAGCCTCAGAGACCGCAACTCATGCGGCAGTGAAGGAATTAAGAAACAGACACCGACATAGCAAAAGGTGGGTTCAGAGTGGGGCACCAGGGGTCTCACAGCACTTCCAGCTGAGAGTCCAGAGCAGACTCTAACCTATGTATTTATTCTTTACGTTCCAGTGACAAGTTTTACTAGAAGATGCTCTGTGTTCTTTCATTGGTTAAAGGTAAACTTACCAGGCAGCTAGTGTGTGTTTACTTCAAGTTAAAGACAAACTAGAAAGCGCTCTTTACAAGGGAACAAAGAAAGGGTTACCCATCCTGTGCTCAAAGAACTGATTCATCTGGCGTGAGACACAATTATATTGAATACTGTTTATAGTGCTCTGAGCAGTTTGCTGCTTTGGGGCAGTTTTCCGCTTTGGGAGGCTGACTAAGTTTCCCTTGCCACCTCTCTCAATAGGATTTCTCAGCAAACAATATGATTTCTCACTCAACAACGCTGCTATGAGCATCAGTGTATAAATGTGTGAGGCCCTTTGAATTGTAGAGAGTACACACCCAGAAGCAGAAATGCTGGATTATATGGTAATCCTTGTGTGGAGACAGAGTATCGCTCTGTCACCCAGGCTGGAATGCAGTGGTGCAATCCTGGCTGACTGCAACCTCTGCCTCCTGGGTTCAAGCAATTCTTAACCCTCAGCCTCCCAAGTAGCTGGGATTACAGGCCTGCACCGCCACGCGTGGCTCGTTTTTGTGTTTTTAGTAGAGATGGATTTCACCACGTTGGCCAGACTGGTCTTGACCTCCTAGCCTCAAGTGATTCACCTGTCACGGCCTCACAAAGTGCCGGGATTACCAGTTTGTGCCACCATGCCTGGCCTGTTTTACACTTTTTGATGAAAAGTTTAAACACTGTTTTCCATAGTTAAGCTCCATTTTATATTCCCAGTAAGAGTACACACGGCTTCCAGCTGCTCAGCATTCTCTCTAAGACTTTATTTTCTGTATGGATTACAGCCATCCTAATGAGTCTGAGGTGGCCTCTCCATGTAGGTCTTCTTTTTTTTGAGATGGAGTCTCACTCTGTCACCCCGGCTACTGTACAGTGGTGCAATCTTGGCTCACTGCAATCTCCCCCTCCCAGGTTCAAGCAATTCTCCTGCCTCAGCCTCCTGAGCATCTGGGAATTCATCAGCCAAGCTGGTCTCAAACTCCTGACCTCAAGTGATCCGCCCATCTCGGCCTTTCAGAGTGCTGGGACTCCAGGCATGAGCCAGTAAGTCCAGCTTCTCCGTGGTTTTGGTTTCCCTAATAGTGATGGTGAGCATCTTTTTATGTGCTGATTGGCCATTTGCACCTCTTATTTGGTAGACTGTCTATTCACATCCTTTGCACATTTCTGAACCACGTTAGTGGGGTTTTTGTTGTTGCATTGTGAGAGTGCTTTATCTGTTCTAGATGGGAACTCTTACTCTCTTTGACATGTAATTTGTACATCTGTCATTCGTAGGTTTCCTTTTCAGTCTGTTAATAGTATCCTTCGATGTAATCCAATCTGTCTACTTTTCCTTTTGTTGTTTGGGCCTTTGGTGTCATATCTAAGAAATCATGGCCAAAGGAAGCTATCCTTCTATGTTTTAGAAGTTGTCAGCTGGGAACAGTGGCTCCTACCTATAATCCCAGCACATTGGGAGGCCGAAGTGGGTGAATCATGAGGTCAGGAGTTCAAGACCAGCCTGACCAAGATGCCCTGTCTCTACTAAACATACAAAAATTAGCTAGGCGTGGTGATGGGCTCCTGTAATCCCAGCTACTTGGGAGGCTGAGGCAGAGAGTTGCTTGAACCTGGGAGTCGGAGGTGGCAGTGAGTCGAGATCACGTCACTGCACTCCAGCCTCAGTGTCAGAGTGAGAGTCTGTCTCAAAAAAAAAAAAAAATGAGTTGTATGGCTTCAGATCTTACACTTGGTTCTTTGATTTTGATTCATTATTGAGGGTTTTTTTTAAAAAAAAAAAAAACATGATATAAGGTAAGGCTTTAACTTTATTCTTTTGCCTGTGGACATCTAGTTTTCCAACGCCATTTGTTGAAAGACTGTCCCTTCCCTGATTGAAGTCTTGGCATCCTTATTGAACTCATTTGACCATATGTGTAAGAGTTTTATTCTGCACTCTGTATTCCATTCCACTGGTCTCTCTATATGTCTTTATTGCCATACCACACTTTTGACCACTGTAGCTTTTTTTTTTTTTTTTTTTTTTAAAGATAGAGTCTTGCTCTGTTACCTGGCTGGAGTGCAGTGGCACAATCTCGGCTCACTGCAACCTCTGCCTCCTGGGCTCAAGGGATTCTTCTGCCTCAGCCTCCCGAGTAGCTTGGACCACAGGCGTGTGCCACCACACCTGGCTAATTTTTGTATTTTTAGTAGAGATGAGGTTTCATCATGTGGGCCAAGATGGTCTTGATCTCTTGACCTCATGATCTGCCCACCTCAGCCTCCCAAAGTGCTGGGATTACAGGCTTGAGCCACCATGCCCAGCCCTCTGTGGCTTTCAATAATACATTTTGAAACTGAGAAGTAAAACACTTCCAGCTTTGTTACTTTTTCAAGATTGCTTTGGCCATTTGGAATCTCTTGAAATTGCATATAAACTTTACACAATTTATAAGGATAGATTTTTCTGTAATTGAAGAAAAAATGTCACTGAGATTTTGAGAGCAATTAAACTAAACCTGTAGATCACTTTGAGTCATATTGACATCCTAATGAAACTAAGCCTTTTAATACATAAATATGAGATGCCTTTACATTTGTTACACAGTCGGTCTCTGGAACTGAAAACCCTGTGAGAGTCTGCCTCCTGGTTGAGTTTATTCCTGTTTTATTCTTTTTGATGCCATTGTAAACTGAGTTTTTTTTTTTCCCAGATAGTGTCTCACTATGTTGCCCAGGCTGGGGTACACTGGCTATTTAAATTATTATAAAAACTGACAGCATTGACCTGCCAGGCTCAAGTGATTCTCCTACCTCAGCCTCCCAAGTAGCTGGGAATATAGGCATCCACAACCAAGCCAGAAGAAACTATTTTCTTAATTTCCTTCTGGGATTGTTGACTGTTAGTGCGTAGAAATGCAACTGACTTCTGTATATTGATTTCATAATCCTAAAACTTGGACAAATTATTAGTTCTAACAGTTTATTTTGTGCAGTCTTCAAGATTTTCTACAAAGAAGATCATGTAGTTTGTTAACAGAGAAAATTTTACTTCTTCCTTTCCAATTTCGATGCCTTTTCTTTTTCCTTTCTTTCTTAATAGCTCTGGCTAGGATTTCCAGTATTATGAAAGCATGCATCATTGTTTTATTACTCATCTTGGAAAACTTTGTCTCATCATTGAGAACGATACTAGCTGGATGTTGTTCATATGACCTTTATTACGTTGAGGTTGTTTTGATTTCTAGTCAATTTGTTTTTAATCTAATCATGAAAGGATATTAAACTTCATGAAATGCTTTTTTTGTACTAATTGAAACAAATTATGTGTTAATTTCTCTGGTCAGGTGCTAGGGGGAAGGATGACATGAAGTCAGGAGTTCGAGACCAGCCTGGCCAACATGGTGAAACCCTGTCTCTACTAAAAATACAAAAACATGGTGGTGGATGCCTGTAATCCCAACTACTTGGGAGGCTGCACCACTGTACTCCAGCCTGAAGGACAGAGCAAGATCGTATCTCAAAAAGATAATAAAAAGTGTCTTAATATTTCTTTTTTTTTTTATGAGAGTTCATAAGATGCCTTTATTTTGTAACTTACAATCACCTTTAAATTTGTCCTTCAAGTGTTAACTCTAACTGGTGACTGTTTTTCTTAAATACTTCACTGGCATTCAAGAGAGAAAAAGAATTTAGCCCTTGATTTAAAATAAATAAACCCGGCCAGACACGGTGGCTCACACCTGTAATCCCAGCACTGTAGGAGGCGGCCGAAGCAGACAGATCATGAGAGCCGATGTTTGAGACCATCCTGGCCAACATGGTGCACCCCCATCTCCACTAAAAACACAAAAAAACTAGCGGGGCATGGTGGCACATGCCTATAATCCAAGCTCCTCAGAAGATTGAGGCAGGAGAATTGCTGGAACCCAGGAGGAGAAGGTTGCAGTGAGCTGAGAATGCTCCACTTCACTTCAGCCTGGGCGACTGAGCAAGACTCCATCTAAATAAAGAAATCAATCAATCAATCAAACCCACCCACCCACCCTAAGAGGAAGACAGAGGACCTTAACTGCAGATAGTACTCCATTGTTACCCTGTGGCTATATATCTTCTGAGATGCCTGTCGTCTCAGATGTTCTGTTGATGGCTGTAGTCGCTGAAAGTTTTGTATTTACATGGTCAGAACATTGAGTGCTTCTGTTCGATTCCCAGATTCTCCAACCTTCCCATGGAGTCACACCACCTCCTGTCTTGGCACTTCATGAGTCCAGTGGTCTTTCCCAAGAGGATCTGGTTGGCAGACCGTGACCTTGGTTCCTGCTTCTATCCGTAGGTTTATTCTTAGCAGCCACCACCTTTTTGGTACTAGAACAGTGCGTTTTTTATAGTGCGTTCATCGGTGGATGCTGAGACCACAACCCGGTCATTTGGATGTTCAACTAATGCTTTATGACGCAGTCCCTGCAACTCACCAACCCGTGCCAGAACTCACTGGAGCTCAGGTGTGTAGCACTACCTTGTTTCTCTATGGCTGGGAGTGCAAACATGGTTGATGTGTTTATTTCCCATTTTTACTTTGCAGGTTTTGTTTTGTGAGACAAGCTCTTACTCCATCATGCAGCCAGAAGTGTAGTCATGGTTCACTGCAGCCTTGACCACCCATATTCAAGCCATCTTTCCTCAGCCTCCCAAAGTGCTAGGAATACAAGTGTGGCCTACATTTGAGCTTTGAGTTCATTATGTATTCTAGAAATGAGTCTCTGGAGATGATGAGTCCTTCATCTGATAGTTGGTTTGTAAAAGTTTTTCCCAAACTGTAGCTTATCTATGGAAATAATAATGTTATTCTGTTTTTTTATACATTAGGCAATAGCTCTAGTTACACCTCTGCCATATTAACAAAAATGTCATCCTCACACCCTTGACATTAGAATTGAAAGCATAGGGGGTTTCACCCCTTGCAATATTTAATTCAGTATAATTGTTATCTGGTTTACATTAGTGACCATATCAGAGCATAGTGTACACCTCTTGCCATATTCCGAGTATTTCCCTATGGGCCGCAACATTTTCCTCTCCTTCTCTGGATATTAGGAGCAATATTTCAGGACGGTCGACCAGTCCCAGTCACATCGTAAGTAATGTCATCTGTAATCCCCTAGTTATTAGGAACAGTATCACCGGGGCTTGTGTGATTTCTAAGATATTTGGAGTAATATCCTTTAACTTTTTGAATATTACCAACAACACTACAGTAGTGGTGTACGCTTTTCCTGCGATATTCAGGCTATGGTCATCCTTTGTCCCCAAGATATTGTTAACTGCACCACAGAAGTGTTTTAATTTGCCTGTGATATTGGAACAATCACAAAGTGTACACGTGCTTTCACAATGAGAGTAATGCCTACTTAGGATACGATGCATAATATCACGAAATGGACACACATGTGTGTATACCCACTTTGATTTTAGAAGTCATTTTTATCTAATATATTAAAAATCATATCCCAGAATATACTCAGGATGTGTGCACTTATTGGGATATTACAAACAATGCACAGAATATGTACCATATATATATTGACTGTGATGGGCGTATGTGTACACAAAAGAGATGTACATTAAATGTACATAATCTGTAAAATATGTAGAATTATATATACACAATATGTACACAATAGGTATGTAAATAATGTGTACAATATGTACATTTATTATAATACCACAATGATATCATATAATCACAAAAGCTTATACAATCCCAATAGGTAATACATATAAATATACATATTGCACACATTATGTACATTTACATTTATTGTGATATGTACACATGTACATCATGTACCCATTATGTAGAGATGTATAATATATGCACGTATATATTGTGCACAGTATGTACATATGGACACTATGCACACATGTACATATAATGTAGATATGTATATTTTGTACATGAGTACATATTATGCACAGTATGTTCATGTATAAACTATGTACACACATGCGTGTACACCCACTTGGGTAACTGAAGTAATTTCTAATATGCTAAAAGAAATATCAAAGAATATACTCATAATGTGTACATTTACTGGCATATCAAAATAAATGTATGAAATAGGTACAGTCTGTATATTTATTCTGCTGTACATGTGTGCACCCAATATGCAAGTTGAAAAATGTACAAAATCTGTAAAATATGTTCCTTTATATTTCTATCATGTGTACACAATGTATAGGTACATGTTTGCTATATGTACATCTACTGCTGCAATATCACAATAATATCATATCCCAACAGCATATATAATCACAATAAATGTGTAACACATAACAATATAATTGTACATATGCAAACATTATGTATTTACATTTATTGTTAAATGATGATGTGTATGCATGTACATAATGTACCCATTATGTAGAGATGTACAATATATGCACATGTACATATGTGTGCATGGTATGTACATATGTACAGATATGTACATACAGTGTAGACATGTACATTGTGTACAAGAGTACATAATATGCACAGTATGTACACGTGTAAACCATGTAAACACCTGGGTGTACATCCACTTTGGTCACTGTAGTAATTTCTATCTAATATGCAAAAAATATATCCCAGAATGTACTCATAATATATACATGTAATGGCATATTGCAAGAAATGTATATAATAGGTACAGTCTGTACATTTACTCTGATGTACATATGTGTACACAATACAGATGTACAATAAATGTACATAATCTGTACAATATGTATATTATATGTACATAATGTGTACACAATATGTATGTGCATAATGTGTACAATATGTCCATTTATTGTAATATCACAATGATATATAATCACAACAGCATATAAAATCACAATGCACATGTAATACATAATATCAATATAAATGTACAGATTGCAAACATTATGTACATTTACATTTATTGTAATATTACGATATGTACACATGAACATGTATACATTATGTTCACATGTACACCCTGTACCCAGTATGTACACATGTACATCATGTACCCATAATGCACGAATGTACAATATATGCATGTGTATATATGTGTGCACAGTTTGTATATATGTATGCTATGTACACATACATACATATAACGTACATATGTACCTTCTGTACACAAGTGCATAATATGCAAAGTATGTACATGTATAAGCAATGTACACACATGCGTGTACACCCACTTGGGTAACCAAAGTAATTTCTATCTAATATGTTAAAAGTAATATCCCAGAATTATTCATAATGTGTACATTTATTGGCATATAACAATAAATGCATAATATAGGTATAGTCTGTATATTTGCTCTACTGTACATATGTGCACCCAATACACAAGTAGAAAAAAATCTACATAATCTGTAAAATATGTACCTATAGATTTCTATGTGTACAAAATGCATAGGTACATAATGTGTGCACTATGCAAATTTCTTAGAATATCTGTGATAAAATATAATCACAGTAAGATATATAATCACAGTAATATATACATATCTTATATCACAAAGAGTACATGTTGCACACATTTGGTATGCATTAGGTACACATGTATTGTGCACATACTATGTACATATATAATGATTGTGATAACACCATATGTACACGTGTACAAATATGTGCCCACTATTTAAACTATGTACACATGTAGAAATAGGTGCAAACTATGTACCTATGCAGAGCATGCTGTTACCACAGCCCTTCTCGTAGCAGCCCCCAGGTCCACCCTGGCTACTTAAGGGACATCCTGGCTAGGGGGCTGTGCCCACAGCCCCTGCCAGAGGGCCCATAACAGCTCCCAGGCCCACCCTGGCTTCTTACAAACCCCCTGGATAGAAAGCTGTGCCCACAGCCCTGCAAGAGGTCCCATAGCAGCCCCCAGGCCCACCCTGGAGTCTTTGGGACCCCTGGCTATGGGGACCCCTGTTGCAGCTCTTGGGGAAATACTCTGAATACAGCAAGACATGTACACCATGCTCCGATATGGTCACTAATGCAAACAAAAAAACAAGTATACTGAATTAAACATTGCAAGGGGTGAAACCCCCCTGTGCTTTCACTTCTAATGTCAAGGGGGTGAGGATGACATTTTTGTCAATATGACAGAGGTGTAACTAGAGCTATTGCCTAATATATGAAAAAACAGAATAACATTATCATTTCTATATGATATGGTATCCAGTATCATATTACACCACATTTTCAAAATAGCTGGTCCCCAGCAGCTGTGGGCATAGCGGCCAAGTGAGGGGGTCCCTAGGCAACGACTGCCTGCCTGTGGCCTGCTACAGGACCTTTGGTGGGGGCTGTGGGCACAGTGCCATAGCCAGGGGGTTCCTAAGCAGCTGTGGTGGGCCTGGGGTGTACTACAAGCCCTCTGGGGGTGGCTGTGGGTACAGTCACCTAGTCAGGGTGTTCCTAAGTAGCAGGGTGAACCTAAGGGCAGCTACTTGCCCTCTGTCAGGGCCTTGGACACAGCCCCATAGCCAGGGGTCCCAAAGACACCAGGGTGGGCCTGGGGGCTGCTACAGAACCTCTGGCAAAGCTGTGGGCACAGCTTTATAACCGGGGGCTCCGTAAGAAGCCAGGGTGGGCCTGGGAGCTGTTACCGGCCCTCTGGCAGGAGCTGTGGGCACAGCCCCCTAGCCAGGGTGTCCTTTAGCAGCCAAAGTGGGCCTGCGGGCTGCTAAAAAGGGGCTGTGGTAATAGCGTGCTGTGCATAGGTACATAGTTTTCACCTATTTCTACATGTGTACATAGTTTAAATAGTGAGCACATATTTGTACACATCTACATATGGTGTTATCACGATAAATGTACATGTACATAATACGTGCACAATACATATGTACCTAATGCATACCTAATGTGTGCAATATGTATTCTTTGTGATACTACATGGCATGTATATATTACTGTGATTATACATCTTATTGTGATTAAATATATTTTATCATTGGTATTTTTTAAAATGTGCATAGTGCACATATTATGTACCTATGCATTGTGCACATATTATAGAAATAGTTACATATTTTACAGATTACATTTTTTTGTACATGTGCATTGTGTACACATAGGTACAGCAGAGTAAATTTTCAGACCTTACGTATTTAATACATTTATTGTGATATGCCAATAAATGTGCACATTATGAGTAAAATCTGGGATATTATTTTTAGCATATTACAAATTCCTTCGGTTACCAAAGAGGGTGTACACCCAGGTGTGTACATGGTTTTATACATGTACATATTGTGCATATTATGTACTCGTGTACAGAATGTACATGTCTACATTATATGTACATATGTGTGCATGGTGTGTGCATATGTACACGTGCATATATTGTACATCTGTACAACATGGGTACATGTGTACGTACTGGATACATGGTGTACATGTGAACATAATGTGTATGTGTTCATGTTTATATATGGTAATGTTACAATAAATGTAAATGTACATAATGTTTGCAATCTGTACATTTATATTGATATGTATTACATGTGCATTGTGATTTTATATGCTGTTGTGGTTATATGATAATGTGATATTACAATAAATGGACATATTGTACACATGTACATACCTATTGTTTACATATTATGTACATATAATATACATATTGTACATATTATGTACATTTATTGTACATCTGTATTGTGTACACATATGTACAGCAGAGTAAATGTACAGACTATACCTATTTTATACATT